CACTGACGTCAGGACAGAGATTATTGGCTCAGGTTTGGCCATGTTAACTGCAAGGTACCTGGAATTCATCCTATGGAAATATGTATCTGAAGCTGAGGAGATAACTTTTTACTGGAAGCACATTTTATTTATTTATTTATTAATGGTGGCGATTTCACATTTATTAATGGTGGGGGAAAAAACCCAGGTTCTTCAGAGAGTTTGGGCCAAGTAGGAAAAAGTGAGACAAAAAAAAAAAAAATACACCCTACTCTGTAGGGTGGGATATGGTGAACAGACATAGTAGCCACCAGAAGCACATTTTAGAGTCACCATTGAATTTTTGAAAGCTGAGGCCAGAGAAGTCCTATAAGTGACAGTGGAATTATACACTGAAAGAGAGTGGCAGAGAAAGAATAGAAAATAATCCTTTAAAATAGTGCGAAGGCAGGCAGAGGAAGACAAACCACTGCGGACTGCAATAAAATCTTCTGACAGGTACACATCAATATTTCATACCACTTTTTTTTTTTTTTTTTTTGTACCGGGGATCAAACTTGGAACCTTGTGCTTGTGAGGCAGGCACCGGAACCACCGAGCTAAATCCCCAGCCACATTGCTATTTCCACAAAAACATGTACGTGTGTTGGTAAAACCACAATCAGTTCTTTAAAGCTGAGGGAAGGGAGCTGAGGCAAATTGTTCTTTCCTGACCAAAGAAACCAAGGGCAGACCAGGAATAAATAATATTGGAAAAGGTCAGACAGTGGGCTCACTCATGAAAGACTAAGGAAGGTGCTATCGTAATGCTTTTCATGATATGTCTGCTTTCCATGGTTTCCAACCTTTGTGGCCATGCTTCTCAACAAGAATGAATTACTACAGAAGTGTAAAGAAAAAATTAAGTTCAATAGATACAGATTTATCCTATCAAATTGCTATACAAATTGAACAATGTGCTGCATGCCCAAAATGCCAGCTACTCAGGAGGCTGAGGCAGGAGGATCACAAGCTTGAAGCCAGCCTGGGCAACTTAGTAAAAAAAGGGTGGTGGGGGGGTTTTAAGTTGTAGCTCAGTGGTGGAGTACTATTGTGTTTAATCCCTAGCACTGATAAAAAACAAAAAATTGCTGTACAAGTTTTATAGTGCTTGCTCTCAATTACTGTACTTATCTCCTTTGAGACCAGTAACAGTTCATAAATTGGCACCCCTTCCAGAATGTATTTTGAGTAGCACATCTCTAGGAGAAAACTGCTCTTGAAATGATCATGAGATTCCAAGGGCAAAGTCTGTATCTATGATTCACGTTTCCTAAATGCATAGAAGACTGAATGCCACTGCATTTGTAATAAAATAATTCCTTTCCAGAATCAGAACAAGTTGGAAACCAAATTAATATTTAAATTTTGTTAGAGCCAGATGTGGTGGCACACGCATGTAGTCTCAGCACTCGGGAAGCTGAGGCAGGAGGATTGCTCTGAGTTCAAGGCCAGCCTGGGGTACATAGTGAGTTCAGGGCCAGCTTGAACTACAAAGGGAGACCCTGCCTCAAAAAGCCAAACATAAACAAATAAATAAATAAATTTTATTTGTTGAGCAAAGAATCAGAATATACGAAAGTAAAACAAATTTTTAAGGAGCAAATAATTCTGGTGCACACCTATAGTCTATATATGGTGCACACCACTCAAGTGGCTGAGATCAGAGGATCACTTGAGTGCAAGAGTTCCAGACCAACCTAGGCAATGTAGTGAGTTCCTCTATCAAAAACAGCAAAGAAACACGTTTAAAAATAACCTTGGAGGATATTCCAGGCCAGGAGAACAAGCAGCCTCCCAGAGTGATAGAGGCAGGGGTCCCTTCATCAGGACACTAGAGGTTAGAATCCTAGCTGCATCACATAAAAGTTGTGTGATAAAGCAGTCTGAAGCTCCATGTCCTGATTTTTATGATCATTTTATTCCAGAGAGACTTACAGGAAGACTGATACAGTGTTTAGTACATTACCAGCATACAATTTGCACTCAATATTTAACACAGCGTTCCCATAGTAAGATATATCTACAACAGCAATGCCTCCTCCCAACAAAGAGCTGAATAAAGAAACCCTAACTTTCAAATCCACAGAGCCCTTGCCCCTTTGTGTGCCCAGTCACAGCCTCAATTCTGTTGCAATCTTCCTCTGCACAGGTACAGGAAAATCAACCCAGTTCCACTTCTCGATCATTCCACTTGATGCCCTCAAGAGTGCATCCAGGTCACCTTGGGTTTTGATGTTTCCAAATGTTGGTCATAGGTTTAGAGATGACCTCATAGTTTATAGCCATAAATATGTATATAAAAACTTTCACTGTGGCAGTTTCTGCTTTAGCTCTTTGAAAATAAACTTATGTACCTTTATCTCAAGTTTTCAGGTAGCTTCTCCCTGGTTAAACATGAAATTCTCACACCTCACATTAGACTTTCAATAAAGCCACATTAAAGGTAGATTATAATCAGATTAATTCTCCGGGAACAGGGAAACAGAATGAGAAGAGTTGTAATGTTTTTTCACTGCTGGAGCCAGGTTACCATAAACTGGACCCTTCAGTTGTTGTTGCTGTTATTGTTTTTTTTGGTACTGGGGTTCGAACTTGGGACCTTGCACTTGCTGCAGAGATTATGAGTCTATGGGTCTGTCAGAACAACCTCTTCTTGGATAAATTCTCTCCATTTCTACATCTTGAAAATAACCCCTCTACTTCTGAGTAGCCAACATACAAGTTAATGTTTCAAATTATTCTGTGTATATAACATTACAGACACTCATTTTCTGAAGATAGTCCTTGCCATTCTGAAAATATTAAGAATATTTGATATTCTTAATTCTTTCAACATTCCTTTGAAATGATTTTTCCCCAGTACAAGAAGCATTTCTGGAAATTATAAAATGGTAGGAAGTTATGAAGAAAAAAAGGTTTATCATCACATTATTCAATGACACTCGTGAAACACTTGGATGACAGTTATGACAATGTTAACACTTCGGTTTATTTCTTTCCATTTTAACTATTTTCGTAGTATAATTATGTAAATTATGATTTGTATCTTATTTCAAAGTGCATGACAACCTGTGAAGAGAGTGAAGCCAAGAGGCCCTAGGACAAAACCCCAGTGAACACTCTGGGATTGTGAAACTAGGGGAAGGGGGCAAATGCAACTTAGAAAAATTAGGCATGGGGTGCCCTAAGTGGATTTTAAGTGCTAAAGCAACTCTGTAATACCCAAATGGACATTGTTTGAATATGTACTATGTGCACTAACGTCTGAAGATTTAAGAAATATGTGACAGCCACCTTTAAATAGAAAAAAAGTCAAAGCTTCTACATATTTCTTATGTTCCCTGTTTGCTGAACATGGCCCAGTTAAAAAGTAGTTGTGTTGTGGTAGGGGAAAAGCACGGCTCTTATAGCTTTTGTTAACTAGTTATTATGTTTGCAGGAAATTGTTCAAAAACAGTTCTCCTTATGTAAGGCTTGCCCACAAATGCTGCTTAGGTCACTGTCTAGATTATCTGCAGCCTAAATGCCAACTCTACAAATTAAATCTGTCAAGTGACAGTTTTTGCTGTAGCATGCATAATCAACCTTTAAAATTTATTTATACTCCATTTCCTTTCTCTAGCCAGATTAAATTCTCCTTTCCTAAGCTATTTTGGTCTCACTTCAGACTGGCAGAATTCAATGTTTTAGACAACCACAAGGCAACAGTGGCCCTACTTATTTCCATTTCCCAACTGATTTGTATTTGGGCTACCAAACAACAAGAGAAATTTAGAAAGTTTTCTGAAAATAAACATTATCTCACTATATTCCTTCAGGTAGCATAATATGAATCAGTCATGCCATGAAAATGCAATGAATTATTATGGGTTCTTAGATCCCTCCATTCAGTCCCAAGAAACAGTTCCTGGGAGCCTGCAAATGGCAAATACATATTCTTTCGACTAATCTGTCTGTCACATCTTAACGCGCATGCTGGACTCCCACGGAAATAAATACTATATTAACTGGCTGCATTACTAAGCTGAAAACTACCTAAGCAATTTTCAGGTTTATATTTGGATTAAAATTAGCCATGAAAAGTAAAGGGAAAGAAAATGGCATAACATAAAGAGAACTGTTTCTTAAAATGGTCACTTTTTTACAAAGTTGTTCAACACCTGCCTTGAAAACTTCCCAGAGAATTACTGCTAATGGTTGAATGTGAGGTCTCAATAAGATGTTTACTTCTGATTCAGCTACATTCATTTGTGCATTCATTGTAAAGTGACTGACACTTTCTGTATCTGAGTATGTATAAAATACAATAGCCCACACCCAGCTACTGGCCTTTGGACTTTGTCATTAGGTTAGATTCCTTGAGATGTTTATTATGACAAGCTTGATTGCTCATTGGAAATTGCTGTCTAAACTTCCTACAGAAATTATAGTGCTGCTGTTAGGATTTTATTATTCACTGAAATTTCCCTAACAGACTCTTGATAAAATAAATGCATAACTTAAGGGAAGAAATTGTTGCTTTTCAAAATATAGCAAGGGTTAGTTTTGAAAAATAAACACTAAATTATATGTTCAAAGAACTCTACACATTTTTACCTTTTTAAAATAATCATGAAAGATTAATTATGGATATAAAGTAGGCTGTTAGGGTCGGGGATTTAGCTCAGTGGTTTCGCCACCTGCTGCGCAAGTGCAAGGACCGGAGTTCGATCCCCAGTACCAAAAAAAAAAAAAAAAAGAAATTACAAGTAAAGTAGGCTGTTATAATAGCAAAAGCAAAATCCAGATACCTACTGGGTTATGGCATATTGAGGTATTTCTCTCCATTAAATATACTTGATGTATTATTATACTTTGAACATTAGTATCATTAGTATCATTTGAACATTAGTTGGTATTGTTACATTTGCTCATTCTATTATTGCAATGATAATACTCTTGCTGTATTAAGTGTCATCAGTGGTATGGCTCCAACCAACCTGAAAAGGATGAATCTTCCATTTCTTTTGTACACCTGGAATAAACAGAATCAATGTTTACTAGATCTGGTATCCTTGTAAAGATTTCTGATTTATTGGCTTCCATTCTCTCATCTCCCATGAGGGTTTTCCTTATATTCTTACAGTCTTTGTTTTCCTGCTTTTGACTTTTCTATTTCGGTTATACTGAGGAAAAGTCCTCATTATTTCGTCAAGGACACATATTTAGTTAAAAGAAATAACTTCTCTCTAAGGGGCTATCTTGTTTAGCAGGAGAGAAAAATCTTTTAGAGTTTATAGTAAGCATTGGCTTTTAAAGATTTTTTTTTAGTTTTTGATGTCTGGACCACTGCCTGCAAGGCTATTAGAGATCACCTGTAGAGAAGTAGAGGTGCTAGTGCCGAGCCAGTCTGTGAAGGTTAGTGAATTCTCAGTTCACAGGGTTCTTCAGACCAATGCTGGGATGGATTACTGCTCTGAGAATCAGCAGCTTGAAACTATTGGACTCAATAGAGCAGATACCTTCTGCACAGCAGTGAGCCACTGCAGCTCAGGATACATAACATGGCAGTGGCCAGAGAGGCAGACCCATGACTACCCTAAGAGAATTTAGCAGGCTGGTTATCAAGCCTCCACTTATGACTTGTTTAAAATATGTTCTCTCAGCAGCAAAAGCCTCTGTTCTTCATCCTTGAACTATGTCCTTTTCAAAGTAGGACAGGGTGATACGTTGCCCGGGAGGCTGATTCTCCCAGTTTGAGCACAGCATTTGGGCTAGAAGAGCATAGCTCAGTACTTCATGTCAGCACTGCTGGTGGTAATCACAGGATCTGTGGAGCACAAGTCACAGCTTGTATCACAAACTCTACAAGAAAACTAGCTTAACGCAGACAGAGCTCTGCTTAGCATTTGTGGAGTCTAGATCTTATCCCACCTTTTTTTGAAAAGTCATTACATGCAGAATAGTTTCACTATTCTAGTTATCAACACTGTATTAGCTTGGGGGTAAGATTGGCTGTCTTTAGTTATGCTTTCTACGTTAAACAACCTTGTCATTTAAATCTGCCTGTGCTACAGATTGCCACTATTTTACCGCAACATGAAATTACTATTTGTCACTTGCCATGAGTTTTTAATTTCTATAAAATGAATCTTTTTCTTTGAGATTTGAGTTCCCTGGTCTGCTTAGCTTCAACCTTACCATCACAGGACTTTTTAAATCTTCCTATATTCTCTCAGACTTATTCTTTTTATATTTGTGAAGGGACATAATCTGTATCTCAGGCTCTCTAGTTTTCCTTCACTTAAATGGATTGCTAGGCAGGCAGTTTTCTTTAAAATGAAGATGAGTTGACTTTTGTTCTTTCAAAAGTCTAGCCTAATTCTGTTCCTCAAAAGCACTTACTTTGCTTAGAGTACATTTTTATAAGAAAGTTGAATAACTGTACAACCAGTCTCTAATTAGAAGGTCTAATAAATCCTGAGATGATACATTATAGTGACTGTGGACACAATCTGATCCCTAAAGCCTGCTTCAATCTAATGCTCAGGGAAAACAGCAAACAAAAGGCCTCAGTATTAGGGGGAAACCAAGTTCTGCAAAGCAGGTAAAGGTCTTGTTTACTCCTTCCAGAAAGCAGAGGAGAAAGGATTTTCAGCTTATCAATGACGCCCTCGCCCTTGTATGGCACAAAACTGCAGTAAGGCTTTCCCTTCTTAAAGGCCTAATTAGACAGTGGAACCACAGGGCTGAGAATGAGAAAAGAAAAGCTTAGGTTTTGACGCAAAGAATGACATCAGTCCATGACATGACCAGAGTCTTCTTCAGAAACCCTGGGTTTGGGCAGTGTGGCCACTGCACGGTGGCAGCAGCGGCAGCAGCACCACAGCTCCCGGGCTTTCGAAAGCTCGCAGGCCGGGCTCTGAAGACGAGACCCAGGCCGGCTCCTCCCGTCACGTCCCGCATTCGGCCGTGAGTCACCAGGCCGGCGCTCGGGCAACACAAATGTCCCTGGCTGACGGAGATGGCAAGGGCGCGTGCCCGAGGTAACCCGGCTCGGCTGGCGCGTCCCTCCGACGCCGGCCTCCGCGTGACGCTCGTGCCCAGGTGGCTCGGTGCGGTGGGTTCTCGGCGGGAGCCGCTCCCGTCCAGACGGCTCCCCCTCGCGCTCGGCCCCTTCCCCACAGGCTTCCAGCGCTCCCGTCGGCCCCACCAAGAGCCACTCACGCGCCCGCCCTCACCATTCATCAACCGGTTCGCGCCGGCGCGGGCCGCCGGGAGCTGACGTCCGCAGGGGCGTGCCTCCGCTCACGCACTTCTGCGCTGGGCCGGGACCCGGGCCATGATTGGCGGGCGGAGGGGCGCGCACGTCACGCTGGCTATAAAAGCGAGGGCTTGTGACGCAAGAGCGCCCGGCGCGCGTATTGGCTGCTTAGCTGCGCCGGTTCGTGACGCACTCTCAACCGCTCGGTGCATGGTCGCTTGGTGCCCCCGCCGCCGCACCATCGCCGCCGCCCCGCCACGACCGCCGCGCCCTGCCCCGCCGCCGCCGCCGCCGCCCGCCTCGCCGCCGCCTCGGGACCGGCTGTATGATTAGGCCACAATCTTCAATGAGTAGACATATTCCTGTGAGTACCCGGCCGGGACCCGCGCCCGCCCGTCGCCTTTGTTCCGCGCCCGGGGCCACCGTGAGCCGCTGCCCGGCCTTTGTGATAGCGGGAGCGGGTGCCCGCCGGGCCGCAGACAAGATGGCTCCGGAGCCGGCCGCGGGGCCCCGCCGGGCTCGCGGACACACGGCCGAGGAGACCCAGGCCCGGACCGGCCACGCCGCGGAGCCGCCCGCCGCGTCCCCTGCGCCTGCGCGACCTCGCTGGCCGGCCGCGGGGGGGCGGGGGGGAAATCTGCGGGTCGCACGTGCCGGCTAGCTTCGGAAGCCCCGGAACCTGCGCCGCCCGCGACCCTCTTTCCTCCCCACCGGCCGGCGGGACCCCAAGCCTTCGCTTGTGCTGGAGAGGCCGCGCGGCGCAGGCTCGGGCGGAAGGTGCAGTGGGATTATCTCGCTTGCTGCAATCTTTGCCCGGGAGTGCTGACGTCTCCGGCGCAGATTGAGACGCCGCCTCTGGAGGGGGGGAGTGGGCGCCGCGGCCTCTCGGGGCTCCGGAGAACAGGTTGCGACAGTGAAAGTTACTTTCCCCGTGGGACCTTAATAAAGGAGTCTCAATGCTGGTTCTTTTGTTTTGCCGAAAAACAGACTGGGCCTTTGACTTGCTCTTTGTGGTCTGAGAGATCACCGTATAAATAAACTAGTTGACATTTAACAAAGTTCCAGAAACGGGCTGTATTTAAAGGTATAAAGTGAAAATGGAAGCAGACTCTGTAAGTTCTTTACAATGCTTAAACTTAACCATGCAAAACAAATGGGACCTTTTTGTTATTATAGGGTTTTATTTGGTAGTTTCCTCTTGAGAATATGTGTACATGTTTAGGACAGTGGCCTTACATAATTATATTTTCTTGTAGGAAAACTATACAGCTAACATTTCCCTCATCCCTGTCAGAGTGGTTTAATAAACATCAAATATAAAAGCAAAAACTTGAAAAGGAACTTAAATGATTTTCCAAATATGAGTTAAATTTTGCAAGGTCTAGTACTTTCAAAATTTGAAACTTCATAAAATTTGTATTGTGAAAAAAGGTTGATCAGATGATGAATATAGGAAGTTGTATATAGTGTGTACATAATGCTGTGACACCTGTGGCCACCTATTAAGAGAGAGAACAGCATTTCACCAAATGCAACACTGCTTTACACTCAGTTAATCTGTGGTCACACACCCCCTCTTAAATTTTGTTACTCAAGTAAAATATCTTCGGCTCTAATTTGAAAAAAATAGTTGTACACTTGAGTTCTGTAAAAGCATAACATTCCCTTTGAATTGGTAAATAACTTTTTTCCTCTCTCTTTTTCTTTTAAACAGCAGTTCTGTGGTGTTCTTGGTCACACATTTATGGAGTTTCTGAAGGGCAGTGGAGATTACTGCCAGGCACAGCACGACCTCTATGCAGACAAGTGAACTGTAGAGATCCATTACTGCTCCACCAATAAGCCCGGTGAGAGAGGCTCACCTGGACACAGAAGTGGTGAATTGAAATCGTAGAGCATTTTACAAGAGTTCTGACCTGGATGGGGTAAACCTTAGTGCACTTCCTTTCTCTTGCCTCAGTATTACTGGATTAAAGGATTGCTGCTTCTTGTTAAGAGGTTGATTTCATTTCCTAGTACTCCCAATACCATACTCAAAGCACTGAGAAGTTCAAGTGGAGTATATTGAAGTAGACTTCAGTTTCTTGTATCATTTCTATTCAAGTTTTAAAATCGTTTGTAATCCTCTTAAGTTTTTTTTAACTAAATAATGGCTCGAATGAACCGCCCAGCTCCTGTGGAAGTCACATACAAGAGCATGAGATTCCTCATTACACACAATCCAACCAATGCAACCTTAAACAAGTTTATAGAGGTAAGAGTTGATACCTTTTAATGTCCTAAATTGATTGTAGTATAAGTGAGGCTTATAGCTATGAAAATACTGTTTGAGAAGATAATGAGATGACATACAGGTGTAGTTCCTAGAGATGAAATATCGGTCTGTTCATTAAGTGAGAGGTAAATTACTTTACACAGTTTGAGCAGGACATGTGCTTGCATGTGGTTTAATAAATGAATAGCTGGTTCTTCATCCTTTTGAGTTTGCTTAATTCTACCGTGGCAAGTTGAACTGTATAGCCCTCTCTTACGAGGATTGACAGGGGAAGGTCACCATTTATGGATTTTTGTCCAGTCTTCTTAGCATACTGCCATGAACTCAAGTTAGGTTATGTCTTGGGCCCCACACAGTGCTTAGAATCCAATTTTTATCTACTCATTCTGCTGCTATTTGGCAGATTTGTAGCCAACATTGCCTTACTACCTACTGGCCTCCTTTTATTAGGGAAGGAATGTAATGCTCAACAATTTACCTGAACACGCACATTTCACTTCATTAATATCTACAGTTGTTCAGAAATAGCAAATAGGCTGCTGAGATCATAGGGAAATATTTTAATGCTGCTTTTATTTTTCATATATTTTTGAATGCCAGAAGAGTTATAATCTGTAATGCATTTTAAAGCCTGTAGTTTTAAATGATAGTAGGTTTAAAACTTTCTGTATTATACTTATTATACTCTACTTCAAATGAGTGAAGGCGTAAGTTATTGTAATTTAATCAGGATAGGTTACTTGATTAGTTGTTAATGGTTCTTTTGGTTGTATTCATCTCAGTCCTTGTTGCTTGTATACCTTTCTTGTTAGTGCTTCATCCCAATCCAGTGTTGCCATGACTATAAATAACTTCAGTATATGAAGGGCCGGTTTTTTAAGGATTTCTAATTTATTAAAAATGTGTTATTTAACATTTTTACTTTTGTACAGTTCTGTTTTAAACAAGATTTGTGTCAGGTTAAAAATACATAGGAAGTTGTACCATTGTTTGCATGATTTTCTATTACCCAGCATACATATTGGTTACAATGATCAGAGTATCAAATGATGAGCAACAGTGGTGTCCTGAGGAAGACCTCATTGTTTTTTTTGATGTGTATTTTAATCCAGGAACTTAAGAAGTATGGAGTTACCACAATAGTAAGAGTATGTGAAGCAACGTATGACACTACACTTGTAGAGAAGGAAGGCATCCATGTTTTTGTGAGTATTTATCCTTATGTTTTTATGATACCATGTTCACAAAAGTTTATTAAACCACAGACCTCAGGAAGCTTAAATTTGTGACAAAATTATACAGTGTCAAAATTTTCACGTGAATACAGGTGAAAGCTAAGCAAAAGTTTAAAGTTTAAATCTTCATGGGGATAGAGGAGTTATATTTCATGGACATTTAGGCTTAATAAAATGTGATTAAACTTATTAAATATCTGAAGTATGTAAAATTCTCTTCATTTAGGATTGGCCATTTGATGATGGTGCACCACCGTCCAACCAGATTGTTGATGACTGGTTAAATCTTGTAAAAATTAAGTTTCGTGAAGAACCTGGTTGTTGTATTGCTGTCCATTGTGTTGCAGGCCTTGGGAGGTAAGAGAAGTTCTTAATTTGAGTCTAGATAAAGATATGAGTGATTTGTGCTGCCAAAGCAAGCACATGAGTTGATCTAAAAGTACACTTTATAAATTCCTTCCAAGTTTTTATATATAAAGTCAGAATTTAACTACAGGTATTGCTTAATAAGAATTATGAATAGTTAACACTTCTCAATTTGCGAACGGGTGGCATGAGATTTTCCAGGATTTGATTTTGAAATAATGATTTATCAAATAATTCTTACCTTACCAGAGCTCCAGTGCTTGTTGCCCTAGCATTAATTGAAGGTGGAATGAAATACGAAGATGCAGTACAGTTCATAAGACAGTAAGCAATGGATTCTCTTCATTTGCACCCTCTTGTGTTTTCTTGTTGAATGTCAGTGAGTCTCAAGTGTGTTACAAATTGCCCATCTATTGCCATTTTTAAAATGGAATTAAGCCAAAAAGTGTTAACATTCCATGTAGATGGTGAATACTGTGATTCTAATTGAACAGTGTTCTTTGAATTACTGTTTTGCTTTAGATTGTTGACTGTTAACTTGTGATTTTGCATTTTATTGCGGTGTAAATAAGATGATAAAAATGCACAGGTTCCAAAGGGAGGTCATTTGACAATAGCAAATGAAACACCCAGTGCAGTTCATATAGTCTCATTTTAGTTCTCTGGAACGTGCCTGCTGTGGCCGTGGTAGTCATCTTCCTTGCCATCAGAAGGAGCCGCTTTCTGACTCCATCACCATAAGTCACTTTTGTCTTTTCCTTCCAGAAAGCGGCGCGGAGCTTTTAACAGCAAGCAACTCTTATATCTGGAGAAGTATCGTCCTAAAATGCGGCTGCGGTTCAAAGACTCCAACGGTCACAGGAACAACTGTTGCATGCAATAAAACTGGGATGCCTGATGCGACTGCCTTGGACGTACAGCTTGAGGCAGGACCTGACTGTCATACAGATTAGCCCATGTGTTGGCTCGGTGAATGAGTCTAACGAAGCTTCCGTAGGAGCGTTGCAAAGCAGTTATACAGGCTACACACAAGCTTAACAGAATCGCAATCTCTGGGTTTGGGTTATGATCAGCATATTTGGACAATTACTACAAGATTCTTATTGTTCAGCATTTAAATTGTGCTTATCATTTGTACCAGTTGACTTTCCTGAAACCATCCAGTACTGAGTTAGGATATTCCCATGCCAGAATCTTAATGATACATAAGAAATTTAGAAAGATTAGGTGCCAAAATACCCAGCACAATACTCTTATATTTTTAGCATCACATAGAACCAAAATTCCAGGAACTAAGAATACTCTAGACCTGTGTTTTATTCCTTCAGTCATTTCAAACACGGTAGGGCCTATGTGGCTATTTTCCTGCTCACTTTATGTTTACATCTCACACTCAAACCAGTATGCATCAGGTTTGCTTAAACATTGATTGTTCTTTTTGATTATTACCAAGTCTTATGGTGATTATTTAATGTCTTTCTACAAGTCTTATTTTTGCTGTTCTGGGAAACCTCCATTTTGAAAATCTACATTGTTACAGAAGCACATGTCTTTAATGTCTCAGACAAAAAAAGCCTTACAGTTAATTTAATGCTTGCACTCTGAGGTGCAACTTAACAGGGAGGGCCTGAAAAAAGACTAGGAGTGGGCTATTCAATAATTTTAGTAAAATGTTGCTTTTGTCTTGTGCAGAACATGTGTAGAATATGCTCTTTAATTTAGTAAATATTTTTTAAAAGGTATAGATGCTTTGTTATTGTAGCTAGAACAATTCTTAATCATAAAATTTCTGAAATTCTTGTAATTTTTTCCATACTTATCAGAAGTTGTTTACCAACTTAT